AAGCCCTCTGTTGCCGGAGGTGATTATCTACAAATTTTAGCCTCGACCCACTTCCATCAGACTTCCTGCCACGGCCTTCTTCACCCAAGCTCCTGCTGGCAGCCCTCTGTTGCTCCACCTTCCATCTGATGATGATATTGTCTGTATCTCTGCTCCACCTTCAAAACCCACAATTTGCATCTTATTTATTTATGGGATTAAAATTCCAGCAATTTGATTGGCTACCTCATCAAGCATGTTAACAAGCTTTGCTTTCTTCTTATTTATTTATGGGATTAAAATTCCAGCAATTTGATTGGCTACCTCATCAAGCATGTTAACAAGCTTTGCTTTCTTCTTATTTATTTATGGGATTAAAATTCCACGTTCACCACTTCTTCAAGAATTTCTTGGGTTGCATTTAAATACTTGAATTCAACAGCATGTTATGCATACCGTTGACACTGTTTCGACGTAATAATATTATGTTTGTTTGGATTAATATGAAATATGTAGTTATATTTGCAAAATAATTGTTTTATTCAGATATCTGTCAAACAGCTCTATTTCATTCAGTACTAAATCATACAAAGGGTTAAAATGGTAATTTGTTGTCATTCAGAGAACAGTTACCAAACAACATTTTTCATTCAGCACTTAACTATTCTGGCCCTCTTAACCATTCTGACCACTTAACCATTCTGGACTAAACCATTCAGCAACCGCCAAACAGCCCCTAAGTCAAATGACTTTGCTGAATTTTGCTCCTCTCATGGTATTGTGCATCAAACGACGACCCCTTATACTCCTCAACAAAACGGAGTAGCCGAAGTAAAAATCGAACATTGAAGAATATGATTAATTCAATGTTGATAACCTCGGGGGCACCACATAGCGTCCCTTTCCTCCCATATTTAGGAGGAAAGTTTTGGTAGAAACTTCTCGTTATTTTCCCTCCCTTTCCTTTTTTTTCCTAAAAATGTTTCAAAAACACCGAGTTTTTTTTTTTTTTACTTTCCTCCCTCCCCTTTTCTCAGTTTCCATCCTTTCCTTCATAAAAAATGATTTCAAGAACACAACATAAACAAAGGGACGCTACTAGATAAATTCCAATTCCAGTTATCGATAAATCATTGGACGAATTACATGGGGCTAACTATTTTTCAAAATTCGATTTGAAGACAAGCTACCATCAAATCAGAATGTGTAAAGAAGATGTGCACAAAAAAACCCAGGAGGGGCACTAGGAGTTTTTGGTAATGTCGTTTGGCTTACAAACGCTCCGACAACATTCCAATCCTTAATGAATGAAATTTTCAAGCCATTTTTAAGGAAGTTTGTGCTAGTTTTCTTCGATGACATATTGGTGTACAACAAGACAGTGGTGGAACATTGTGAGCATTTACGGGTAGTAATGTAGAAATTGCAAGGACATCAACTGTACGCAAACAGAAAGAAATGTTTGTTTGGCAAAGAAGAAGTGGGTTATTTAGGTCATGTGATCTCAGGCAAGGGGGTGGCATGCAATGGATCAATCCAAAGTAGTAGCCATGTTGTGTTGGCCTCAAGCCTTCAACCACAAACGATTGATTACTCACTTGAGTGGATTTTTGGGCCTAACCGGTTACTATAGAAAATTCATCGCCAAATACGGAGAGATTGCACGTCCATCGACATACTTGTTAAAAAGACAGAAATTTGTGTGAAATGAAGAGACAACAGTGGTGTTTAAAGCAGCATTGGAGAGGTCATTGACTTGGTGTTGCCCGATTTCAATAAGCCCTTTGTGATTGAAGCAGATGCATCAGGTGGGGGAGTGGGGCTGGTTCTTTTAAAGCAAGAGAACCAACCCACTGCTTTTCACAGTCAAGTGTTAATTCAAGTAAGACAAAGGCTAATTTACGAAAAAAAGTTAATGGCAATCGTATTCGTGGTGGTAAAGTAGCGACCACACTTACTTGGGAGGAAATTCAATGTCAAAATAGATCGTCAAAAGTTTGAAGTTCTTATTGTAACAACAAGTGATTGAGCAGCCACATCAAAGAGGGTAGATAAGCTGTTGGGGTATGACTTTGATATAGTGTACAAATCGGGAGTGACGAATAAATAGCGGGCGCGTTGTCGAGGAAAGAATTAGAGTGCTCGGTGATAGGGGGGTCCACAATGGAGGGAGTGGGAGACTATTCATAAGGAGATAGAGGAAGATACAATGTTGAATCGAATTAAAGAAGAGTTAATGGCAGGGATAGCGGAACACAAAGGATTCGTAGTAAGACAAGAATTTTTATGGTACAAAGATCGATTGGTGTTAACCCGAAATTCATCCTTGTTGCCGGTTGTCTTGGAAGAGTTTCATAGTTCACCGTTGGGAGGTCACTCAGGCACACAAAGAACTTTCCAACGGGTGGCATCAGAATTGTTTTGGATTAGGATGCGTGCAGATATTAAAGAGTTTGTCAAGAGTTGTGTTGTTTGTCACAAGAACAAATGTTTAAGTGGTTCACCAGCAGGATTGTTACAACCTTTGGCGTTGCCGATGCGAGTTTGGGATGAGGTAGGGATGGTGATTTGGTCCGACCCGGTGGGGAACCCGGTTCATCCGACCCGGACGGGGATTCCCCGCTAAAACGGGTACCGGGGCCGGGGATCCCCGATAGAGGCAAACCGGGGCCGGGGCTGGGGTCGGGTATTGTATCCCCCGACCCGCCCCGCACCCGGTATATATATAAATATTAACATTTTGATTATTTGGGCTTATAATTGATATGTGCGGCCTGTTGGACTTATGAACTTGGGCTTTGTAATTGATATGTCCAAATTTCAATCCTCTTCTACTCTTCTTGACTAGAGTCTAGATATGATGTAATTATATTAACACTTGTTTTAAATTTTACATTTCTTTGGATTATTGTTAATTTTACAATTTTATTATTTTTATTAGGCAAGACTAKATATGATGTAATTATGTTGTTATGTTGATCATGCTTAGAAAAAACTTATTAATTTTTATTTGACCGGGTGTTGACCGGGGGTTGACCGGGGTTGGCCGAAAGTTGACCGGGGACGGGGACTGTGTGTATAAACGGGGGTCGGGGCCGGGGATTGCAAACCCCGCCCCATCCCCGCCCCGTTGCCATCCCTAGGATGAGGTGACGATGGATTTTGTAGAAGGGTTAGCAAAATCGGAGGGAATGGATACTATTTCGGTGACTGTGGATAGGCTAAGCAAGCGTGCGCACTTTATGCCTTTAAAACATCCGTTTAACGCACAACAGGTTGTTGAGGTGTTTATCAAGGAAGTTGTACGACTACACGGTGTGCTGCATTTGGTGGTTATAGATTGAGATAAGTATTTCAGAGTCAATTTTGGAAGGAGGATGTTAGGTCAAATATTATTATATCCGAGATCACCGTTTATGAAGACAATAGTTGAAGATGGGAAGGTCAAAGTTTAAAGTCAACATGGTCAATAAAAGTCAACATTGTTTTTAATTGTAGTTTGAATTTGTAATTAGTCAATTGTAAAAGTAGCTTGTTAATGATAGTTTGTAGTTAGATCTTAACGTGCTACTCATTTGTTATATTCTAGAAAGAGAAGTTAGAGAGAGAAACATGTAGAGTGAGAGTTTATCAATATACATGATGATTTGATATCTAGATTGTTGTTCTTATTGTTTAATTTATTGTTACCTGATTTAAGTTGAGTTTATCAAAGGTTTTCCGATTGTAAACGTGCTACTCAATTGTTATATTTTAGAGAGAGAAGTTAGAGAGAGAAATATGTAGAGTGGGAGTTTATAATATACATGATGATCTGATCTCTAGATTGTTGTTCTTATCATTTAATACATTGTTACCTGATTTAAACTGGGTTTATCAAAGGTTTTCCGATTGTAAGGGACAATTTAAGGATGCATTTGATTCGAGCACAGCAAAAAATGAAGCAGCAGGCTGATCAGTGATCGGCATCAAAAAGACGATTCATTTGAAGGGAAATGGTGTTTATCAAATTAAGGCCTTATCGACATAAATCAATACAAGGACGGAAGAACCAAAAGTTGTCAGCTCGATTTCATGGGCCTTTTCAGGTGCCGGAACGTGTAGGGAAAGTGGCTTATCATTTACAATTACCTTCATCAACTAAAATTCGTCCGGTTTTTCATATCTCCCAATTGTGAATTGTGGAGGGCCATTGGGCAATGTTTTTCGTCAGACAAAGATGTCAAGAGAAGAAGAAACTATGTAACTGCACCTCCCAAGTCGCATCCCTAGTACGTAGTCTTACTCTATAAAAACGAAAAATATCACATAGCAGTAAGTTTTCTTCTTCAATGGCCATGCACAAGACAAAGCAAAAATTAGAGGTTTCGCTTTAATAGGTCATCAATCGGTATGTATATTTTCTTTGATTTGGTATAATTTTTAACCCCAAAGTCTTAGTACCGCCTCAGTAGTTCGAGGCATACAACCCAACCAACCTAGCAGAGGCACTGCCTCAAGAACGTTTTTCATAAAGGCTAGTGGTATAAAGAGAGGGATTCAAATTCTGTCAGATGTATGCGCAACATCAGGGAGAGAGTTAATGCTCTCGAAAGATTAACAAATTCATTCAATACATCATTCGATTTCTCAACTTTGTCTTCTGCTATTCTTAATTGCTTCATCATTAGCATGTCTAGGCAAATGCTCAATGGTTTCTACCAGTTGGATATTGATGTATAATTGCTTGAAAACATCTAAGAACTCTCTGAATTGCACATCAATCTCTAGGAGAAGAGAACGATGGCAGAACATATAGGCGTAGAGATCACAACATGCTTTTGAGTTGGTAGATTAGGTGGTTTGCTTGCAAACACCACTCTTGGTGCTTGTGGTGAAGGTATCAATGACTCATAAACAATGGCTGCAGATTTTGGTAATGATATTAGACTCATTTTGCAATGATGCTCTCTATTTTGGCTTCTGGTGGAAACAAGAGTCAACATTCAGGAATACTAATTCTACAGTTAGTAAAACACAAGTGAATCAAGTTCTGAAAGATTATTAAAGATTCCGGCTGAAAACAAAATTTAGCACAAGGGAACAATACATAACTAAGCTGGAGAAGAACTCACACAAGATTAAACATCTGCAGTCTGAAATCTTGACTCCCTTGTTCTTGAGCCACCCCATCTCTCTGATGATCTGCCACGAGCTTTTTGAGCAGCTGGAACCTCTGTTCCAAGAAATCTTGAACGGTTTGTTTCCCTTGTGCCTCTTCTTTCAGACATCATATTGGTTTCTAAATTCGTCTTCTCATCAAGCATGTTCTTCCTACTTGTTCCTCTGCCTCTTCTATCAGACATCTGATTGGTTTCTGAATTCATCTTTTCATCGAACATGTTCTTTCTAGTTTTTCCTTTACCTCTTCTCCTACCATCGTTCTCGCTGCTTCTTGCATTTGGAGTGTTTCTTCTAGGCGAATCATTATGGTTAAACTTCATTGTTCTTCCTCTAATCTTTCTATTCCCATTTTCTTGATCAGAATCATCAGTACTTATATGCTTCCTTCCCTTTTGAACCGAAATGTTTCCAGTTTGCTTCAAAGGAACCTGCCCTTCAAATTTCGTTTTCTTGGTGGGTGTTCTTCCATTAACAACCAATCTGTCTCCTTCCATAGAATCACCATCAGTAACACCTTCAGATTCAGAACCTGATAAGGAAGACACCATTTCATCCCCTTCCTGCTCGCTTGCAGTATCACTCCATTCGTTATCTTCTCCTTCATTCGAATCTTGTGTAGTCTTGTCTTTTTTCGGTCTAACAGCTTGATTGGTGTTCTTAGATTTGTTTACCATCACCATGTTCATCAAATGAATATAGTTAGACCTCAAAATCATCAATGGATGTTGAGGCTTCGAAACTAACAAATCCCTCTTATAAGCCTCTCTCAAAACCACTGTATGTGTGTTCAATTTACTAGAAACATAGAAGATCCCAGGGTGTTGAAGCAATGCCCTCTTAAATCTTGATCGAACACCCAAATATTCACCAAGAAACAGTAGATTATCCTTGTCGGTTCTCTTGGGTACCAAAAGGTGAAGAAGCTCATGCAATACAGCAACAGTCCATTTATCAGATTCATCGCTCTTTGCCTGCAAATCCAGTGCATTCTTATAAGGGGAAATGTATGGCAACTTCTGCCACCCATCAACCCATTTCTTAAATTTCTTATCCACCTCGAATCCACGAGAATATTGCAAAGGAAATGAAGTCATTGACTTCTTTTCCATCACAGATACTGCTACTTCATCACTCCAACAAACCAATTCAAGTTCGTTTCCATTACTAGCGACTTGAAAGTAGTCGGGAAACTGAGGAACAACACTTTGGGTGTAATCATGAGGCAAACCCAGATCCCATTTTAAGCGATCAATGACACAAAGAGGGAGTTTGTTGATTCTAGCTATCATCAGTAGCTTCAAAAGGCGATTGGCTACATCTTGTTTTTGAATCTCACTCTGGAAAAGAAGCTGTTCTTCGGCGTCAAGGGTGAGGATTTCTGGGGTTAACTTGACGTGAGGGTGGATTCCTAAACCACCTGGAAGGAATTCTTGGAATACAGAAGGGTATTTTCGAATAAAATCAATAGGGCGGACGGGTATACCTAATGAAGCTCTTTTGTCGGAGATTACGGAGATAGGAAGAGACTTTGATGGCTCGGAAGTTAAGAGGTTTTTTACGTTAAGCATGGGTTTGAGGTCTCTTTCTTTCTCGACGGCGTGATCGAGTGCCCGGTCCCGGACCCAGTTGATGGAGGTAACGACGGAGGAAGTTGCAGCGGCGGCGGTGTCATTGAAAGTATGGTAACGACGGCTAGGTCGTCGGAGATAGCTGAGTAGAAAATGCTGCTGCATTGGGGAATTTCAGGGTTTTTGGATGCCCGCTCCCACTTTAACGATGGGTTTTAATGTTCCTATTTTTAAGAAGAGTAAATTACAGATCTGGTCCCTGGGCTTTGTGATTTGTTATGGACTTGGTCCCTTTGTGTTACGATTAAATTGTCAATTAATCAATTTACCATTTTTCTTTGCGTTATAAGTTTTTAATTAGTGTTTCTTTTTATTGAATATCTATACTACCTTATTAAACATATTACCCTGAAGTCTAAAAGTCTTAACTTTTTAAATACCCAAATTACCCTTGAACCTCTTTTACACGCCTCTCCCACCCCCCCTCCCAATGTGCCTCTTCATTTTACCCGACTCCCCCAAGAACACTCTTCGATTTTACACGCCTCCCCCAAGAACACTCTTCTCCTTATCGACTCCCAAGGCGACGATTCACTCCCCAAGATGGTTCCTTTAAGAATCGTCCATCGTCCTTCTCAGTCGCCCAAAATCATTCGATCGTCCATCGTAGCACCTGCTGAATCGTCGCACCTGCTGAATCGTCCATCGTCGCACCTACTGAATCCTTCAATCGTCCATCGCCCAAAATCCATCATCCCACCGCTGCCGTCGTCCATCGTCCCACCGCCGCTTTCAGGTATGAACACTTTGTTTTTAGGTTTTGCTTTTGGGTTTTCGCTCTACAGGTTTTGAGTTTTATTTTTGCGTTTTGCGTTTTACTTTTGTTTTTAGGTTTTGCTTTTACACTTCGAATTGTTCTGCTTACACTGTCCTTCAACCTTCAACCTTCAATCCATCTTCCAGGTAATTACTTAGTTTGTCTTGCTGTTTTGGGTATGATTTTGCTTTTGTTTTTAGGTTTTGCTTTATTCATTTGCTTATTCTATTAGGAAATTTTTACTGTTAAAAAGTGCATTTCTGCATGCCTACATGCTTTGAGAGTTTTATACATGTACATAACTTGTGGGATTTATGTAGGTTTGTCATCAGTGTTATAATCACCTATATAGGATACCATTAGGTTTATACAAGTCATCCATTCCAAAGTTGTAAAATGAAAGAATGATTCACATCACTGGAGAACAGTTTGGTGTATCTATGGTTTAATCAAACTGTACCTTAAGCTGTTGAAAGCAATAGAAACATGTCTGTCTATTTTTGATAGAGAAAAACATTCTATAGTGATGGTACTAAAAAGTTGCATCTATTTTAGCACTGGAACAGGATTTAGTGATTTATTTGAACTGTATTAAGGGCTTTTGTATGAAGATATGCATTGCATTGATATCAAAGATAACATGTTATGTTTGGAAGATATCTTATTTGCTGGAGATTGGACYTTTAATAATTCCTGCCCTTGATTGTTGGTTGTCAAATTAGAATGCACAATCAACCTAAGGCCATTTCTGTTTCTGGTTTTCTTTTTCTTACAGTTATTTTCAACATGAATTTGTTCATGTTTTTCTGCACAGAGAGTTACTCAAATAATGGAACTTGTGTGCCTCTTAGGAGCTGTTTACCGACACTTACCCAAGTAAATGCTTACCGGCAAAATCAACTCTATCACTTACTTACCGGGTGTGATTTTAGTCCATCAAAACAGTATCGTATGCAACAATTTACCCGGTAAGTGCTAATCATGGTAAGATTAGATGCCCTCACTTACCAGGTAAGACTCTCGATCCTTGCCTTTGCTTTTACCAGGTAAGATTTCTTGTCTATGCCATTATGCATGAGGTAAGATATTTGTGTATCCTCATTGAGGATGATTGATATATGCAGATTCATATAATGCAGGTGTGTGCATTATTTCAATGACTTCATTTATATTAAATGTTTTCTGCAAGGATCTATGATGAATTACAGTGATTTTTTTGCATGATTCTAATGAAGCTATTTCATTATTTTCTGGCTTGAGTACCAATTACTGAAAAGAAATTTTTATACAAATAATAGTTTAACATACAATCAATAGATCTTTTTGTGGTACAATTAAGGACTAAAAATATAAGTGTCTGACTTATCCATTTTGGTCATCAAAACTTAGCATAAGGCATAACCTAATGTTATTATGTATGAGTTTAAGATTTTTATATTTTTTTCTGCAGGATATTGCAAACACCGAACTTGCCCCGACACACCCAATTCGCCTTGGACTGGCTCTAAACTTCTCTGTCTTTTACTATGAGATTTTGAACTCTCGAGACCGGGCTTGTAACCTTGCCAAACAGGTATGAGCTATATTTTTGTCATAGCAACTCAGATTTATGTACCATTTGGGAACTCATTTATATTCTTAAGGACCCTCTCCACTTTTTTCTATCTAAAGTGGCTTGATTGTGTCATTTCTCATGCTTTTCCAGGCCTTTGATGAAGCAATTGCTGAGTTGGATACCTTGGGTGAGGAGTCCTACAAAGATAGCACTTTGATCATGCAACTTCTTCGTGACAACCTCACCCTGTGGACCTCCGATATGAAGGTATAAATGATGTTTTCCTCTTATTCCACATTTCTAAAGAGAGATAGTCAGTAACACAGGATAGAGTAATTGAGCCTGACCAGGCCTTGTAGGTCTCCATTCCAGCAAACCAGGACCAATTCCACTACAATCATTTCCATATGGTCTCTATGGTCCTGTCTTTTTGTCTCTCTACAGTTTAGAACTTTAGATGTTAACTTATTTCAAAGGGAATCTGAGCCGAGGTCTAGCACCACCTAGGGACTAGACACACTCTTTTGCATTTGTTCTTGGGGGCAGTGTGGCACGTTTTGCCTCATTTTGAGGGGGCGTATCGGAGTCTTTCATCAGCTAGATATGGACCATCAAACATGTGTCTGTCGGAACTCCTCTGCATGTGTGTGTATATATATACGTGGGCTCTTTTAGAGAGAGATTCAAAGGGGCTCCATATATTCCTGTACCAATCATTTAGAGAGATTCAAAAGAGTTCCAATTTTTCTCACATTGATCTTCTACAGAAAGATTCAAAAGGGTTCCACGTATTCCCGATAAAAAACATGAATTCTGGTTTTGTTGGTATTGCAGGAGGATGGAGCTGATGAAATTAAGGAAGCACCTGCTCCAAAGCAAGGTGAGGAACAACAACAGCAGTGAGAGGGTTTGCACCCTCATCTTAACCTTTCTTTATCTTTCTTTCCTTTTTAATGTTATTAAGGAGAATCTGGTTGCATATGGCTTCCAACTTCTCCATCTTTATGAATTCTTTTGGTCGTCTTCTAATTTAGTTTCATCTCCTTAATGATTCAAGTGTTTTGAATGAATTATAATTGATTACTTTTGTGTATTGATACATCGATATCATCATCTTCATTCTTTCCCACATGTAGTTTGTTCTACAAAGCTTTTGCCACAAAGTTTATAAACTATGTCTTAGGGGTTAACACAGGATTTGAAATACCAACACAATGTTTGCGGCTTGAAAAATGAAAAATCCCAACCCAACCCAAATCGTGCGGGTTGGGTTGGTCGAGTTGAAACTTTTAATACGTCAAAGTATTCCCGTATGGGTGTTACCTTGAATATGGTGTTTTCTCTACTTATAAAATATATGTATGTTAAGAGGGAAACGGTCTAACGATCTAATGTACATATTAACAAGGGACTTGCAGTCATATTAAATCTAAGAAAAAAAAAGGGTATTTGTTGTAACTTTTGTTCGAGGACTAGATAGAATAGAACAGTGGTTCTGGAAAACCCATTTTATGAGGAGAGTTTCTAACCCCGTACACATAATAATGTTTGGGATATTATAATGGACAAGTTGTATTTTCTTAAAAACTAGAATTTAATGAAGTTCAATTAGATCGATATGAGTTTGGTATGAATTTCTAGGAATCAGAGAGATTGTTTTTTTGTATGTTTCTTTGTGTCTATTTCTTTTTATGTGGCTTACTTTTTACCCATTTGGTTCTTTTTTTT